GTTCATTTTGTAAGAAGATTAACCGGGTTTTAAAAGTTATTTTCCTCCTGTTATATCCAAAAGGCAAGGAGGACCCGTAAATATACTAATTTCCCCTCTATTTTATGGTTGATTTATGAATTTATGGTGGTATATTAATTTATATGTACTCTTCTGAAATCAGCTGTAGAGCTGAACATTATTGCATTCTAGAGATGGCATAATCTACATCTATATAGGCTTTGAGTCTGTGCATAACGCAGAGAATCTTAATAAATATTTGTTGGAAAAAATGGATCTGCTGCCAGAATTCAATTCAAAACTTTACCAGATGGTTCTCATCTTATTCTTTGAGGCTGGGAATCTTGCCTTCACATAACCTACAATTTATTGCATTAGAACTTGCGGTATATTGGAATATGGTGGTGAACCTAGGAACAGTAGGGGTTAATGAAGAACTGGCTTTCTAGTGAAAATAAAAGCCCCAAGGCTCTACTGGGATTCGAACCCAGGATCTCCTGTTTACAAGACAGGCGCTTTAACCAACTAAGCCATAGAGCCCACAGGTGCAGGAAAGCTGGTTACTGGACCTATTCCTGCTTTTAAATAAAATGTTCTTGGCATAGCATCTCTGCATTCTAGAACAGTTTGCTGTGAGAAAAGACGCAAACGCCAAAAATACGTTTGGCTTACTTAGTAAGATGCACTGCGGAACTAACACAAGCGGAGAAAGTTTCGGGCAGTTTAAATATTAATACCATTAATCCTTCAATTAGTCCAAGGATAACCACAAGTAAAAGTCAAGGCTACTCGCTTTTTCCAAATGTGATAAAGTCTCCTAAAAGCAACATTTTCAGGCACTACTCCTTATCATTTTAATAATTCGTTGTTCGCACGTCCTGGAGGGGTGGGTGTCTAACAAAGGAACTCCACAGGAGACTTGTAGATAACCGAGTTGGGGCACGTTCTGACAGTCATGTGCACTCAGGAGGCAGCGATTTGGAGGGCAGAGGACCGGAGCGTCAACCTCGTCCCAGTATGAGCATTGCTCTAGAGATTGCCTTCTGGGCTTATTTTTCTTTAGACTTGGTCTCAGCACTTTCTCAGAACCAGGCAGCTTCTCTTTTGTAATATCTTACTTCTCTGGACTGCACTTGTCAAGACAGGGGAATCGGTTTGAATGTGTCTCTGGGTTTGGAAAGGTTAGGGATTACATTTAGGGCTAATTAAAGGAAACTTCCGAACGTACTCTGGAATCTCAATCTTGTTTCTAAAATGGATTATTTGAGCAATTAATTCTGAAGTTGCTACCAAGATTTATAATTACGGAGCTGAGGATGAAAATTAGAAATCACCTTCATTTCTTTGCCACAAAAGCAATAAGGAAAATTATCTTGGGTTTAGATTGGGATTCCTTTGGATGACTAGATAAATTTTAGGGAGAACTGATATCTTGACAACATTGAAACTTTTAATCCATACGCATAACACTCCATTTGTTCTTTTATTAAATTTATTCCAATAAATTTGATTTTCATGAGATTATAAATTATACTTAAATTTTTTATTTCTACTTTTTTTTTTTTTTTGAGACGAATTCTCTTTCTGTCGCCTGTCGCCAGGCTGGAGTGCAGTGGCGCGATCTTGGTTCGCTGCAACCTCCACCTCCTGGGTTCAAATGATTCTCATGCCTCAGCCTCCCGAGTGGCTGAGATTACAGGCCCACGCCACCACGCCTAGCTAATTTTTTTGTGTGTTTTTGGTAGAGACGGAATTTCACCATGTTGGCCAGGCCTATCTCAAACTCCTGACCTCAAGGAGTCCGCTATCCTTGGTCTCCCACAGTGCTAGGATCACAGGCGTGAGTCACCGCGCCTGGCCCTTGTTTTCAACTGGTGTTTAAAAGTTCATTTTTGTATTTACCCTGTATAAACAGACCTTATTAAATTTAATTATTCTAATAATAGTGTATAGATTATTTCAAATCTTCCATAGACTCAATTTTAATAAAGGATTAAATTTATGGGACAGATTTTATTTTATTTATTATATATATATATATATATATATATATGATTATTTTTAAGACGGGGCTTCATCATGTTGGTCAGGCTGCTCTTGAACTCCCGACCTCAGGTGATCTGCCCGCCTTGGCCTCCAAAGTGCTTGGATTATAGGCGTGAGCCACACTCCCGGCTTTGGGACAGATTTTAAAAATAAAGGAAGTTACCTTCATTTCTATCTGTTGCCTGAGATAAGGTTGACAGCAGACACAACAAAATCTGTTCTCACCAGTCAGTGCACCTCATTGAATAATAAAGGCTTAAATTAGTTACAACTTTGTATTACTTTTAGAAAATTAAAAATAGCCAATATTTGTATTTATAAAAACATTAACAGGGATTGGTAATATGTTTGAGGCTGACTCTGCTGCTTCATAAATCGAATAGTACACAACAGACACACTGGATTCCCACACTTGAACCTTCTGTCATATACTCCTTGGGTAAATGGCATGCTCAGGTATTATCAGAGAGTGACAAACCATTGTTAGGCCAATGAAATAGTATTTTTTTCCCCAACTGTGACACCCAAAAGTTGAGGGAAAAATGGTTAAGACTTTAATCGTTGGCAATTTAAATCAGTAGAAATAGGAGGATTATTCAAAACATGCGTTGGGCTAATTGGATAGCCACTTAGGAAAATAAAAGCTTACAGTTGTGAGACTAAAATAAATTCCCAACAGATGCAAACTGTAAAAGTAAAGAGTGAAAAAAACCACAATTGTAATTACTAGAAATGTGCTGCGCTCCCTCCAGAGGTTCTAGGGGAGAAATATGTCCTTGCCTCTTCCCAGCCTCTGGTGTCTGCCTGCCTGACAAAAATTTTATATAACTTTGGTCCAAAAATTAACTTCCTTTGCACAAAATTCAGAGACAATGAGAGTTTAACATAGTTTACTACATTAAACAACATTTAAAAAATTCCATCAGGATGTACCCTCATCCCCTTAAAAAAGCCATAAACAAAGTGACAAAACATCAAATAAAACTGGGGGAAAATAATTGTAACTTATGTTTCAAAGAGTGAATTTTCTTCATTTCTATCTGTTGCCTGAGATGAGGTTGACAGCAGACACAACAAAATATGTTGTTGCCAGTTGGTGCAACTAATATAATAATACAAGCAATGTAGAAGTAAGTAAGAGACATTTTAAAATGAACCATAGAAATACAGTGAAATAATGTCTTTAACCTATCAGCTTGGCAAACAACAGCAAAAGAAAAACAATTTGTTCATGGTAGTGTTGCCGAATAGCACTTAAAGATGTTGAATTAGTTTTCTGTAGCTTCTTTAACAAATTACAGTACCACAAACTTGGTGGGCTAAAACAAGTGACTTCTTTTCTCACAGTTCTGGAGGCTAAAAGTCCAAAATCAGTATCACTGGTCTGAAATAAACATGTTGGCAGCACTGTGCTCCCCGAGAGGCTCTGGGGGAGAAATATGCCCTTGCCTCTTCCCAGCCTCTGGTGGCTGCCTGCATTCTTTGGCTTGTGGTGGCATCACTCCTATCTGTTTCCCTATGGTCACATTGCCTTCTCCTCTTCTGTCACTTGTGCCTTTCTCAATAACGGCATTTGTGATGGTATTTGAGCTCCACTTGGATAATCCAGGATAATTTCCTCATCTTTAACTTCTTCTCTGAAGATCCCCCTTTTAGGTGTCTGTGCAAAATAAGATAATATACAGAGATTCCAGGAATTGGAACGTGGATATCTTTTGGAGCAGTTTTCATTCAATCACAGGCATTGACATCCTTATTCCTCCATCTACAATCTGTGTGATTTAGGCGCTGTGATTATGTGATCAATTGGTCACAACTCCAATTTTCTGTAAAAGGTGGATTATAGGAATTTCCTTGTGGATTATTAAGATTATTATATGACTCATATATGTATTACATATGTAATATGTAATATGCCGTATCACACATGTAATATATGCAACCTGACATATTACATATGTAATATGTAATATATGCAATGTCATAATATTATATGACTCAATATATGTAAAGAATTTATAACAGTATCTGAGGCTTAGCTGGAGCTAAATGACTGATAATTGTCATTATTACAATGTTCTGTGCTGGTCAGGGTGTTGAGGAAATAGGTTCTTCCTGGGACCTATAGGAGAATAAATTAGTAAGATTTAGGGAAGGAGAATAAGGCGAGAGCCAGCAAAATCATCACCACACACATATGATTTGATTTAGCAATTGCATATTTAGAAAGTTTTCTAATCCCACACATTTATGAATTGTGGATAGACAAGTTAATTTATTACAATATTATTTATATTGTTAAAAATGGCTGTTGAAATAAATTAAGATTATTCATAAAACTGAATGCTATGCAGATAAAACAAGAGGGAAGAGGCTCTTTCTTTATTGACATGGAAACTTCTGCAACATACATGAAGTGAAAAAGGAAAGGTGTAATAGAACGGGTTTGGAAAGCATATTTATAGTGAGTAAAGCAATAGTGTTCTATTGGCTTGTATATGCAAAAACTATGCCTTGACTGGAAATCCAGATTTTAATATGGTTTGTTGCCTGAGGGTCCAGAATTGGGTGTCCAGCAGGATGAGGTGGGGGTTCAAATAGACTGTCATTATGTATGTAGTCTTAAATTTTTGTAGTTTTGAATCATGTGAGTTGCACTTTTTGTATGAACATTTTTAAAACATAAGAAGGAACATAATCACTTGTACATGAGGTCTTAGATATAACTGATGGCAGTCTGATTTTACGACCACTATTTTGTTTTCAAGCTACTATTAACAGGATTAAACACTTACCTTGCGCTCGTAGTGGAAAATGTTTTTCTTGCAAACCTCAATAACCCTTAGATATCCCTAGTCATTTTGCAATAAGTCTGGCAGCGGTGGGATTCGAACCCACGCCCCCGAAGAGACTGGAGCCTTAATCCAGCGCCTTAGACCGCTCGGCCACGCTACCGCACTTGGGCACTCTTGGATCTCATCGCAATGATTTAGGACACACAAGATTATTCTGCGTGTCATTATATTTTTCTTAGAGCGTTTCTGCACAAATGATCCCGTAGAATCTGCAGATAGGTTCCTAGTCCCGGTCCCTTGTCCTGCAGCTGAGAGATCTGCGTTTGCCTCCGTGCTGTTTCTGATACCTGAGAGTGAAGGGACAGGAAGCCGGTACCCAACATCCAACAAACCCGAAGAGAATCGGTTCTTGAGAATTTGATTAGAAATCGCCACTCACCGGCCGACGCAGCGCGGGGACCCTGAGGACTCCGAGGACGAGGCTCCGCTTTGTCAGCTGCGTTTGGAGGTGTGGAGCACGATGTTACTTTGATGTCTGCGATCAGAAAACAGAGGAGCTCCCATCCTATCCACCGGAGCTCGCGTCCTGGTTTGTATGTCTGTGCGTGATTTCTTCTTCCTGTAACAGGCGTGGAAAGAACTATGCAAATACCTGCTTTTTTTTTTTTTTTTTTTCCTGAATGTGTTCACTAACTTTAATTCAGAGTGAGAGCCAGTTTCTATTGGGTGCGGGCATCACATTCCCTCCAGGTCCTAAGAGGATGTGCCTCCTGCTCGCCCCAACCCCGTGAACGCCGTCTGGGCTGGCACTACGCCCTCTTCTCCCCATCGCAGCCCCCACGCCACTCAGCTTCTGATTTAGTCCTGCCCGCCCCTTTAGATGTGCCCCCCCCTTTTTTTTTTTTTTTTTTGAGACGGAGTTTCACTCTTGTTACCCAGGCTGGAGTGCAATGGCGCAATCTCAGCTCACCGCAACCTCCGTGTCCTGGGTTCAGGCAATTCTCTTGCCTCAGCCTCCTGAGTAGCTGGGATTACAGGCACGCGCCACCATGCCCAGCTGATTTTTTGTATTTTTAGTAGAGACGGGGTTTCACCATGTTGACCAGGATGGTCTCGATCTCTTGACCTCGTGATCCACCCGCCTCGGCCTCCCAAAGTACTGGGATTACAGGCTTGAGCCACCCCGCCCAGCCAGATGTGCCCCTTTTTAAACGAGCCCCAGTTGGACGATTTCAAATGCCAGCAGCTCCGCTCAGTAGCTACAGGCTCATTGGCAAGTCACTTGGGCTCACTGGATCTCACTGTCCTCATATGTAAAAACGAGACAATAAAACTTGTCTTTAAAAAGTGTAGCAGAATGTTTTGATACAATGGACTTTGGGGACTCGGGGAAAGCCGGGGGCGGGGGGGGGGGACTGGGGGCGGGGGATAAAAGACTAGACATTGGGTACGGTGTGCACCGCCCTGGTGACTGGTGCACCAAAGTCTCAGAAATCACCACTCAATAACCTATTCGTTTAACCAGACACCTCCTGTTCCGCCAAAAACCTGTTGAAATAAAAGAGTTAAAAATTATAGCAGAATTTTTATTTTTAGCTAATGCATGTAAATTGCTATCAGTATTTGTATCAGTTATTCACATACACTGAACAACTTTTTATATCAAGTGCTCAGCCTCTGAATGATACAGTGAGATAATCTCATTTTACAGGTAATGAAGTTTTTTAAAGTAACATATTTACAAGAGAGCTGAGTGAATTATTTTTCCTAAATTAATAGATGGCACATGAACGGAAAGTTTACACCTCAACCCTACAATTCCAAATGTCAATTTGCACTTTGTCAGATTGTTTTTCCTTGTATATTGCTTCTCCCTTCTCAATCATTTCACCTCTTCTCTTCCCCCTTGTCTCAGCTCTTTTTACAGTGTTCTGGAGCTCTAGACCTGTGATGATCCGTCAGGTGACATGGTTAGGGACATTGATTTTAAGAAAACCTTTGGCAGGCAAGGAGGTGTAGCTTCTGACCCAGGTAAGCCTGCAGCTGTGGTCTCATTAGAGCTTACCTGCTCTCTGTGTCTGTGATTGCTTCTGGCTGGGAATGTTCAGGCTGTGGCCCCAGCTCAGTCCCCTTGCATGTATGTCAACTTCCAGTCACATCTTTACACATGTGGTGGTGGGAGGTGCTGTGCAATCTAACCAAGTCTAACATCTCCTAGCAGAAAGTGGTGTTTAAGGCACAGTGGGAAGATCCACTGTGCTGTACCTTTATGTAATCAAGGGCAAAGTCGCGAAATGATTTTTATTTATCCGTCACATGACATACTTGGAAGGACAGTAAACACTTGACATAGCATACTTTCTTATTTTGCGCTCTATTTTGAAAATCTAACTTTTCAGAAAGTTCACACAAACTTGAAAGAGCATAATTAATGAATTTGCTAAGACAGTTAAGGTTGCCTTCTTGGTGCCATAGGTAGCACATCAGTCTCAGAATCTGAAAGTCCTGAGCTTGAACTTCTGAGAAGGCACAGTGATTTTGTAATTTCCATGTACTTCTGCTTGAGAAAGAAAAATCCCACCCATTAAGCTTTCTAGTATGAAATCTGGATTCCTGGGTGACTGACAGACAACGTGACTGAAAAATGAGGCTGTAGTCCTTCAGGAACCCTACCAACTTCCTTTGTCAGCTGGATGCTATTTTAATGCACTGACTGCAGTATATCATACAATACCACAATCTGTACCAAATGTCATAAATCTGTATGAGTTGCCTTTTGCTGCTTCTGAAAATTAACATGAATTTGGTGGCTTAAAATAACATAAATGCATTATCTTAAATTTCTGGGGGTCAGAAGTTTAAAATGGGTCTTAGGGAGCTATAACTAAAGTGTGGCAGAACTGCTTTCCTTCTGGAGGTTCTAGGGAAGAACCCATTCATTGCCACATTGCTTGGCTCGTGGCTGCATCACTGATCTCTGCTTCTGTTGTTACATCTTCTCTAACTCTGGGGAATCCCATGCAGCCTAGTTGATGCGTCTGTTTGGTTACGGGGACTGCAAACTCAATGTCTCCCGAGTGGCTCAGTTTGAGGAAACTGATTGTAATCCCAGTGTTGCAGCTTTATTTTTGCCTTCATCCAGTGACAGAACCGACAGGACAGGGATCAAGGTAAACCCATGCCATTCTTGGTTTGCATTGATAGGAACAAGAGAAGACCCCTCTAGACAACCGTCCATGAAGTCATAACTGTCTTGTGTGTGAAGGCAATAGACAGGTGGAAATAGGATCTCACTCCCCGACAAGATGTGGACAATGAGGTCTTGTCTCAATGACCCTGGAGGCTTTTATGAGACAAGACTCTGCTCAAAGGCAGGTCCTCCTACCTTGTCAGAAATGGACCAAAGGGCATGAGCACCTGCCTGCCATGGATCACGGTGTCACTCCTGAAGCCCTCCAATGCTACTGGCTTACCTCTACCCTTGTGAAGACTCAGGATTCTTGCGTTTTAAACCCCGGTGTCCAAAAACTCCATAAACATCTGAACCCCAAGCCCTTTTTTCCCTTCTACCCTTCCAGGTATGTAGGGTCACTCGACCATAATAAAAGCCAGGAGACCATGGCCCCACCCCTAGCTGTTCTTTCTGGAGGGAGTAAAGTCAGGACACAAGTGAGAAGCATGGTCCTCCATCCCAAGGGTGGCCACATTTTGACTGAGAATGTATGAGGACCCTCTGCCCCGTGGGCTGACCTCTGTGAGGAACTGATGGCTCAGCAGGCCACTCCAATGGCAACTCCCTGCTACTTATTTACAGACTCATGGGCTGTTATAAACAGGCTAGCCATACAATCCAGTGACTGGTGGATGGATAATTGGACCATTCAGGGTACCCCGTGTGGAGATTAGGACTGTGGCAGCATCTCTCAAACTGGGAAGGAGGCCTTCGGTCATTCATGTTGACACCCATGGCCAAGGACCATTTGCAGGGAAACATGAATGGAACTCATGAGCTGAACTAGAATGCACTCAACAAACCGCCATGATTGTACTTTGGGTCCACCAGAGAACAGAACATGAAAGTCCACCTCAGATGCAAGAATGGGCCGACTTACAATGACTTGCACTTGAAGAAATGGAAGCCAAGAATGCAGCAGGGTCATGTGACTCCTGTCAGCACAGCCATGCTATGTGGGGAGCTCAGTTAAGTTAACCAGGGCATAGGCATCCCGTGAATGTGGCAAATTGATCACATTGGACCACTAGTTCCTGGCCACAGATTCCACTGGTGCCTCGCCTCTATTAACACATATTTAGCCTATGACACAGCAGTTCACGTAGATGCACGTTCCGCCATTGCAGCCTTGGAGAAACACCCCTGCCTTGTGTTCAGATACCCATTCAGACTGTAATCTGACCAAAGCACCTTCTTCACAGTCCAGATAATACAGCAATGGGCGTGTTCTTGTGGTGTACAATGAACTTAATTTGATTTGCCCTATCACCTCAGGGACCCAGAGTGGGAGGGCTAGTATTAGGGCACTGGAATGAATAACTCAAGCAACAACTATAAAAAGACCATCAGGAACGACAAACTCAACGGAAGGTAGTACTCTTGCTTAATGAAAGTATCAGGACCTTAAATAGTGCCCTCCGGTGAAAGGGAAACATGGCATTGCAACGCGTGCGGGGCACCGTTGGCTTTGGAAGTGTGGTTGCCTGATGTGGCTACGCCTGAGGAATCCCAATCTCAGTATATCCAACCACAGTGTTTGAAGGTCGAGGCTGCAGGGAGCCATGACTGAGCCACTGCATTCCAGCCTGGGTGACAGAGTGAGACCCTGTCTTAAAAAAACAAACACGCAACAACAACAAACAAACGAAAAACCAAAAAAGTCTGTGCAGTGGGTTGACATCCTGGACCACTGCTCCTGGTAGTAGGCTGTGTTATGCTCTTTGTCATCCTCCACCCAGTGGCAACGGTGTTTCTCTCACTTGTCTTCTTTCATTCCTCTGAGTTATCGTTTGTAATTTTTCAGTATGTGGGCCTTGCACTTATTTTTAAACTTACCTTTAAGTATTTCATAGTTTTGAAACTCTTGTAAATAGTATCTTTTTGTTTTAAAAATTCAATTTAATCCCAGAAATGTCCCGCTTGGTCATGATGTGTTATCATTTCATAAATGGTTGAATTTGTTTAAAATATTTTCCAATTTCTCTGTGATTTCTTCTTTGACTTGTGGGTTATTACAACTCTGTGTTTTAATCTCCAGATCTGTGTGGCTTTCTCAGATATCTCCAGCTGATGTTCAGGTTATTTTTGCTGTGTACAAGAAAAACTCTGTGATTTTAATCCTTTCAGTGATTATATATCTGTACATACACACACACATTGAAAGAATATATATATATGTGTCCTCTATGTTATCATATGTATGTATGTATATAGATATGTATATTAGAGACATTTTGTAATTTTTCAATGTGCAGGTCTTGCACATATTTTAAAACTTATCTTTAAGTATTGCATAGTTTTGAAGCACTTTGTAAATGGTATCTTTTTGTTTTAAAAATTCAATTTAATCCCAGAAATGTCCTGCTTGGTCATGATGTGTTATCCTT